GTTCAGATGCGGAAGGAGAGCAGTAGGTACCGGGGCTGACAGCAGGAACAGAGCACAAAAGTATGGACGTGAAACAGTTGACCCCTTCCCCATGCCTATGCATGGCTCCCGGGCCAAATACATTCAGACAGTTCTCTGAACAAATAGAACCAATTTTGCAGGGGGAAGGAGAGCAGGGAGTGTATTTGGGATGCCCCAGAGCAAGGACCTCCACATTTTGGTATTCAGGGGTCCCTCAGCCCAATAACTGGCTCCTCACCATCATCACTTAATCACTTAATCAGTCTAGCTCTTGGTTCATACAGCTTACAGTCCCTTAAAAAAACTGAATGAGCTTTCAGTTTATAAATTTCATTTATAAATCTGGGTCTCTCACATGAAAATCCAGATGTCCAAGTTCTCGGGAAAATTCAGGAGATCAACTGGAACTTAATCGGGGCTGCTCCCTTCCCATCTGACATTTGCTTCCCACAGGACACAGTCCCCACCCAGCTCCACCAGTTTGCAAGATCTGCCTCAGGTCAATCTGTGAGCATTTATGTGTGTAACCCCTGCCTTCAAGTAAATCCTGCTGGATAACAAATCCCGCACCTATACAGAGAACCCTAAATCAGCTTGAAAAGATTTTTGGGGGGGTAAATATAGATTAATCCTTTAATTCTTTTTTCCCTCCTTGAACCAGAACTATTTTAATTAAGCCCTTAATTCTTAAAAGTCATCTACAGTGGAAGAAAGAAGAGCCAGAGGTAAGCAGCATTGCATACAACTGGAAGCCAATGGAGCAATGCTAAGGTAGAAAATGCATTGCGTGTTCAGCCCAGCTACTGTGCAATATCAGGCAGGAAAGCACTTACAGCTTAGCTCCCATGCAAGCTTTCTTTGGCAGATACTTAAGCAGAAAGTCCCACCAAGGAGGAAAGCTAAGGGGGTGAACACATGGGTGGGGTCCAGAAGTGGTCAAGCGATGTCACAGGTTGACAGATGGATGGCAGACTTAGCGAGGAGACCCTCCAGATTGGAGCAGGAGGATGGACAGCTACAGGAGCCGTGCATCTAGGAAAGACAGAGAGTTGGTGTGATAGAAAATATACTTACGAGTTTGAAAGGCAATGAATGCCCCTCCTCAAAAAGAAAAAAAAAAAGGCAAGATGAAAAGACTCCAGGTAGCAAGGAAAGGAGTTCTTCCAAGTATAGGTACAACTTCTTCAAACAAACCTCAAACACATAGAAATTTCACTAAAGTCCTGGGAGATAAAAGCACTGGGAGTCAAAGTATGGGCCGATATGTATGCGGCAGGTAGGATGATTTACCCCCTGGTGCATTTAAATCTGCGAGAGAGCTGTTGCTTGCTTTATCCAGCAGATGAATTATGAAAAGCTGTGAAAAAGTGATTTTTTTCAATGAAATGTTTTAAAGGAACTTGTGATCTAAAAAATTCCAAAGATGCATCTCCTTTACAGCCAACAGAGACCTTAATTCATAGGTTTTGTAAATTCAGATTGAGAAGCACCACAGTGGCTGAAGACCACAGACTTTGGAGCTAGAACGCTTGTGGTCAAACCCCTGCAACACGATTCACTGCCTATATGACCTTGGGCAGGTTATTTAACCTCTTGGTATGACCTTTTCTTCATCTGAAAATGGGGAGTATAATAATATCTGTTCATAAGGTGGTTGTTGTATTAAATGACTCAGTATTTATGAAGCTGTGTTTGGCACAGAGAAAGTTATGTATGTATTTGGTAAATAAAGCAATACATTTATCAGATTCATTTTGCTTAAAATGGATGTTTCGTGTAGTAGGGTTTTCCTATATGTGAAAATCCAGTTTTTTTTTTAATCCACAAAGCAGGCAGTGGATTATTGGTTTTAATGAAGTTTCAGCATAGGATTCTCTTCACTAGCAAGTACTAAAGATAAAAATACAAGTCAAATTATGAAAATGTAGTTTAATAACACACCTATTACACGGAGGGACATTTAAGCCTCTACAATTAAGGCATCATATGGCACGTGTGATACACTTAAGGGCAGACTATATATCCTCCTAATTTATTTAGTGATTCTTACATTTATATCGAATTTAAAATTACAATGCATGTCATATATATGTCATTTGACTCTCATTAAAAAAAACCAAACTGATAAGGTGGGAAGAAGCCCAATGGAAGAGGAAAAAAAAAAACCAACCCAAGTCTTGGATTGGACAGGGATGCAAAGAGTCATAATCCATAACCCTAATCAGTAGGGGTGGGGCACCCATCCGATCTTGATGTTGTACCCAAAGCCTCGGCTTTTAACCTCACTTCTGCCACGGGTGATGGATTTGCTCAAAACTGGAGCTCAACAAAATACGTGTTGGTTTATGTTGGCTTAACTCCCTTTACAGAGCCACTCACAAGTTCTGTTTAGGGAAGGAGACACAGTTGGAGGAAAAAAAAAAAAGGAAGGCGGAGATCAGTGCTTGCAGGTCTTATAACAGCAGAGGTGGGTCAGCTGTTGGGAAGGAAGCAGGTTGAAAAGCCAATCTTTGCTAATGACTCAAAAAGAAGCAAGTCTGGAGTTAAGAATAACATTTCAATATCAGCTTATTAGTTGTGACAAAGGTACCACAGTGAAGTCAGATGTTAACAATACCCTCTGTGCCATCCTTGCAACTTGTCTGTTAATCTAAAGTTATTCCAAAATAAAGAGTTTATTTAAGAAGGAAGGAAGGCAGGAAGGAAGGGAGGAAGGAAGGAAAGGAGCACTTCCACCGGTGTTCGCTTACTTCCTCGTATGGATGTTCCCGGCTTGGTCTTTCTTTTGGAAAGGATAAATCTAGAAAGTCAACCAAATAGTCATATCCTCCAGGAAAAGGGTTGAAGTCCTCATCTGTCTCAATCATCTGTGCAAATGACAACATGGTAAAGGGAAGAAGCATATCAATTTAGTGGTCAAGGTCCTTAAAAAATTTCAGAATGTGCAAGACCTAAATGCCTTTAAATGACAGCAATGAACTGGAGTTAATATATAAAGAGTCTCTCCTCTCTGCTCTCTCCTCCTCCCCCAACTCTCTACCCACCCCCCTTAACTTCTCTCTCCCTCTCCTCTTTCCCAAACAGAATTCAAATTCTCGACTTCTACACTAGCAAAATTTCTTCATATCGCCGACTTCAAATTTACAGAGGTTACCATCTTAAGCACTATTAGTAACAAGATATCAAATATCACATATTTGCAGGCTAAAAAAATGAATAAAATGTGAAATGTTCCTCATTATCATATAGCAGCTAAACACAAATAATTCCACTAACAATTCAAAATGTTTCCTCTTTTTCAGACTAATTATTCTACTGAAAATATCATTCAGACCAGTGTTGCCCAGGTCTTCGATTTCAAAGACAATTTTCTAAAAAAAATTTGGGAGCTAATGGGGCATCAATATTTTATTTTGCTAAGTGAGGACTTAAAAAAAATTCTTACATCTACTGCCCTTTTATTTCATTAAGGGAAGAATGCTTTCATGCCTCAAAAATAGAAAGGACCTAATCTTGGAATAATGACAATGCATCCCAAGGAAAGAGAATTAACATCTTTGTACCCACACTGACGTGCATACTCACTCTTATTTCATTAGTGACTGGCAAAAAGTTCATCATAGATTGGCGCTGACCCCAGGTTTCGAGAATGCTAAGTGTTGCCTGGTACCCAGTATTAACGTTTAGGTAACGGTAAACTTGGGAACAGTCCTTACCCTGAGGGTAACCAGTCTTTGTTTCCAAGGGTATGAATGAACCCTCCATTTCAGGAGGGTTTCTTTGAACTTTGCTCCCCAGGCACAACCTCAGGCACTATATAAGCCAGATAAAACATCACATAAGCATTGCAGGTACTCCCCGCCCACTTCAGGCCTCCTCTTTCTCTTGCATCTCCTGCCTGTTGGTAATTAATTTGCTTTTGGATACACCCTCGGTTTTGGTGATCTGGCTGGTAACCGGAACCACTTGGCTTGTGAGATCTGTATGTATGGGTTGGGGCTAATTTAAGTTCTAGATCGCGGCTGACCTCATGGTTTGGGCAGGTCAGTCTTTCCCACAGCTGCCGGTAAGGATTACTTGCTTCTATGTCACTACAGGACACCACCTCTCCAGTGGAGCCCACCTTCCAGTTCCCCAGTAAATAGCCGTTTCTGCCATAACAAACATAACACAACGAAACACTCACAGAACAAAAACAACAGCAACTAACACATGGTGATAGGAGGAAACAGAATGTTCTAGAAGAGAAACTGAGCTGGACCTCAGAACGTCCCCTACGTTGTCAACAAGGGATTGTTGTAGCACATTGTCAAATCTGTTTTCTGTCAGGCAGTCAGTAGGGCTTAATGAATGCTTATTGAGAAACAAATTACAATCCTAAGGGGTTTTCATATATTTCCATAATACAGGAAAGCGAAGACAAGTAATACTTAAGAGCATACCCTGACCACCAGGTTATAATCCTTAAATCCAGCCCAAGTGAAGTATTCTTTTATCCAGGAAGCGTGAAGAAATATTTCATCTCCTACAGCAGCATTCAAGATTTCCAAATATGGTCCAAAGTCCCAGGAGTCCTTGTAAATTTTGGTCCCCTCTGGAGGCTCTATGATGCCTTTGCTTAAAGACACAAAAATGAGAGAACATGAAAGAAGAAGCAACAAATCAGGAAGGCAGATGTTAGCACTTCAAGATCCACAGTCAACCAGGAGAGTAGCTTCAAGATGGCTCAGATAATCCCCAGGGGTCCCACAGATGTGTCTCAGGGAACACTGAGGGGCAGGGCCCCACCCTAGCCTAAACCAGGACAGCTCCTGGTTTACTTTCCAAGTCAGCACATTCATTTAAAGTTAGAAGTCCACGTCTGTGAAAAAAAAAGAGCTGGAAAACCACTGATTTGGACCTTTTTGGCTCAAAACAATAAATTATGGAAATGTTGGCTATAATGTGGTCATATTGACTTTGTGGAAGTCTGCTCACTCCCGCCCTGCCCTCCACCTCCATTGGAATGTAAGTTTGATGAAAGCAGCCACCATGATTGGCACATAGAAGGGGCCAAGTAAGTACTGAACACAGGAGTGACGTTAGCCTATCTATGAGATATACCCAGAATTTTGTGCCTCTAATATACAGTTTTGTATCTACACTAGTCAAACCACAGCTGACAGACAGATGGACAGTTCTGTCTGGAACCTAGTCAGCAACACAGACAAGAGCGTTCCCTGACATTCCTAGAGCTGTCCATCCAGTGTGAAGATGGATTATTACATGGAAGGTGGAAACTTGAATCCTGGGGATGGAACAGGATGTGATCTGGATAAGTAAAATATGAGGACGGGAAGACTAGGCACCTGTCTAGTAAAGATCTGGCAAGTAATGGTATGTCTCTATGTCCCACTTTCCAAAACAACACTTTTAATCCACTGTTTGCCCAAAGCTAGAGATGTGCTAGTTTTGGTAATAAATTACTTATGAAATGCTAAAATTTCTAACTTCTAAATACATCTCAAATGTACTTCTCCAATCCCCTGTCCTGTCTCAGATTAGAGCCTCACTAATCTCTACCTGGATAAAGCCACAGCCTCCCAGCTGGCCTCCCTGACTCTAGTTCTTCTCCCTGGAGCCTCTTCCCCAGGACATGTTCTTCTGCAAACTGAAATGGTTTTTCTAACACACAATGAAGTCATGTTCCTTCTTTGCTTTACAACTTTCTCAAGCTCTCCTTACTCAAGTTTCTTGGACTGCCTTACGACACGTTTCCGATCCTGGCCCAACTCTGCCTTCCTTACCCACCCTACACTCAAGTAGATGGATGGCTTCATAAGGGAAGGAACTTTTCATAGTTTCCCTCTTCCTAGTATGATGCCTGGTATACAGAAGGAGCTCAATAAATCATTTCTGAATGAATGGCATATATCTGTTCACTTATTCAAATTATCTGCATTCACCAAATTCATGACACTTTATATATTTACACCTCCCTTCTCCAGCATGTGCCATTCCCTCGGACCAAAATCTCATTCTCTCTCTTTCTTTTAATTACTCTGCTTGTAACCTCCTCCTGACCTCTAAGACATCGCTCAAATGCCTAAGATTTCAGATTGAGCTTTCCTTGATCACATTTCCTTCTCTCTCCTGCCCTCTCCTCCCCTCACAAGGCAGCTAAGCAGTTAGTCTCCCTGTGTCCCTTACACTCTGTCTTAACACTGAGAATCTAACTAGACTGACTCTCTTGTTACCCAGAATGCTTTGGCGGGATACAGGGATACAAATGTTGATTCCCAGGCTCTGTCTCAGATCTACTGAATCAGAATTTCAGGGGGTGGAGTCCAGGAATCTGCATTTATCTAACTTTCTTGGGTTTTTCTGATGTTCATTCAAGTTTGAGAGTTACTGTCATCAGACACTGGAGAACTGGAGAGAGATGATGGACAGTTCAGCAAATGCCAAATAACAGACTGTTTGAACACCCTGCTAAAACTTGAAATAATTAAAAACTTCTCTCATCCTTGATCTGGAGACTAAAAACCTCTTTTATCCTAGAGGCACTGGGGAGATCCTCAGGAATTTCAAGCAGGGAGAGGAACAGCAAGAGTTTTGCATTTAAAAAGGGTTTCTTGGGCAGCAATGCAGACTGGGGGCTTTCAAACTTCTTGCCCATGATCCCAGTAAAATTTATATTTTACATCAGGACCCTGGGGATCCACATACCAAGGGTACCTATGACACAGAAGCTTCCTGAAATAATGCTTACCTTGGTTATATGTACTTGAACAGTGTACTCAGGTCTGCTCCATTCCGTTTTATTCTACTTCATTTTTTAAAGTGCTGGTTGTGATCAATGCCATTGATTTTACAACCTGCCAATGTACTATGACCAGTATTTTTTTTTTCCGGAAACAATTGGGTTTATTCCTTAGGATCTCCCCAGTTCAGGTCGAAAAGGCTGGCATGGAGGATGGATCAAAGGAGAGCAAGGGGTAGAGGCACAGAGACAAGTCAGGGGCCACTGCAGGAATCTAGGTGAAAGATGGTGAGAGGTTGAATTAAAGCTACAGCAGAAGAGGCTGGAGATGACTGATGAGTTTGTGAGAGATTTGTGAAGGAAAATTGACCAGACTTGAGAGCTAGCTTTATATGAGATGTTAGCAAAAGGGCATGATTGGTTGAAGGCGTCATTCATGCCAACTTTGCAAAGGAAAGACCAGGAGAGGGGTGTGCCCTTGGTAAATGGGTGCCCAATTCTCCTACACGTAGTCCATTTCTAAACAGGGGTGAGGAGCTTACGGTTCCATTGGGCTTAAGACAAGCACTTATAAAAATATAGATCTGTGACATCAATGTTAGTTTTTCTTGAATTGAACTCCCAGTCTATTGTTACTTGTTCACATCCAGTATTCATGGAGCTGGCAGTTGGGTAATGTTTATGCTGGTATGAAAACTAACTCTCTTGCTTATTGCTTTTTATTTACTTAAGACAATCCTTCACAGAAGAAAACTTCCTCACTCTTTATCCTCAAGTAAAATTTTGAGATAAGGAAAACATTTGAATATGATTATATAGGATAATAAAATTACTGCATAGGACTAAGAAAAAACTCAGTTTTCCCCCTGTATATTTAATTAATAGTTTGTTTGATTCAAACAGTAAGAATTCCAATTTAAATAGTGATACGTAGATATTGCCTGACAAGCACAGGATGCTAGTTAGTAAAAACTTAACACTCCTACACATAGGCACCTGTCAAGAGGCCATAGGTATGCCCTTTATTGTCTCAAGAAATTGAAAAACATTCATAAATCATTTTCACTCTCTATACATATTTAAGCCAAACCTGTCTGTTGGATCCTTCAGCATCCTACCCAGATCAAGAGTGGCTCCAGGTCGTGGGGTCCACGTTACCACATCAGAGTTTTTCTTGATAAGATTGTTGAGTTCATTTGGGTCATTTTTGATGTTTGTTTCCTTAATATACCTGAGAAATAAGAACATTCCCAATAAGAATGTTTATTTTCAGATGACATTCTGATTAGAACAATGGCAATTTTTTTGTGTGTTTCCTCTACATTTCTATTCCCAATCCCCTTCCACTTACCCCAGGAAAAATAAAGAGTATGCTTGGACTAATGTCCCTGATTAGGGAAGAACTATTAGTCAGAGAGGGTCGGGTTTATACTTTGTTTTTCGTATAATCACAGAGTGATTGGAATTGGAGTTAGATGTACCAAGACTCTTATAAGTGGGTGGGAATAGCACATGCTTGTATTTAATATTTTTTCATTCTTTTTCCAGTTTTCTTAATTGAAGTATAGTTGATTTACAGTATTGTGTTAGTTTCAGGAATATAGCATAGTGATTCATTTTCTCGTGTTTAATGTTACTTAAATATATAGATGATTAAATATTTTTGATAAGAATTATACTAAGTGCTTTAACATGAACTAATTGATTTTATCTTCACAACACGCTAACGAGATAGCTGCCATTATTACTCTCACTTTATAGAAAAAGAGACTAAGGCTTAGAGAGGCCAGGTGACTTGCCCCAGGTCACACTATTAGTCGGCAGTGTCCACCCAGCTTTCTACCACCCAAAGGGCTCAGCCTTCCCAGGAGGTCACAAGGAGGGGGCTCTCCCCAACTTTGGGAGTAAAGTCTGATAAGTCTTTCCAACCCCTTCTGCCATGTAAAGTAATAGCCAAAATGAAAGGCATCTATGAACCAGGAAGCGGGCTTCACTAGACACCAAATCTGCCAGCACCTTGATCTTGGACTTTACAGTCTACAGAAATGTGAAAAATAAATTTCTGTTGTTTATAACCCACTCCCACCCCACCACCCCCATCAAAAGTCTTTCCACTCAAAACCATTGAAATCCACCTTTTACAAAAGAGCATACACATTCTCAGTCATAGCCCCCTGAGATCTAGTTTCTAACTGTGCTACTGATCAGAGCTAGGCACCTCCCAAATTTAATTACAAACCACAACCTTTCTGGAAGAGCTGTAAATCAATTTCAGTGTCATATGGGAAGGTAATTAAGGTGCTGCTGGAGCAGAAAAAGGGAGGTCCAGAGAAATGGGATTTGTCACCATGCTTCATCAGACATGGGTTACACAGACATTTCTGTGAAAGAGAATTTTACTTTCTTGAGCTACAACTTGGTTACCTAGACTGGATAGATATTTTTAGTCAGACAGACAAACACAAAACATATATAAGCATTTGTATTTCTATAGCACCAAGGTGACTTATATTGTGATCTTGGAATCAATTTTGCAGCCATGAGTAACTTTTCCCCAAAGATGTCTGTATCTTTTCCCACCCAAAGAGGTCCATAACTTTTCCTTTCCTACACATGTGAATGTCCTCCCAATGGCGTGGTCCTCAGTTTGAAGCAGTGTCCTCTGTTTGTCTCATCTTCTTACTACCTCTAGTCTCAAAATGTTTCACTAACTGGTCTCCCTGCCTCCGAACCATGATACTATCAGATTACTCTTCTTAAAACATAACGTGTGGCATTCACAGAATTCTTTAACGTCTTGATGCTTCTCTGATTCTCTCTCTAAAATTATAATAAAATTAATACCCAGATGCCGTCCTCTGAGGGGTATTGTGGGTAATGAGGGTAACATCTGCCAACTACCAATGCACAGAAGTGTGGCTTGTAATTACTTTACAGGGCAGCATCACATTTAGTGGTCAAGTGTCCTGCAAGTAAGTACTCGCCATATTCGGTTCTTCTCCCAGTTCTTGCAATTCAACCTCCTTGATATTCCTTGGATCTGAATTCTATTCTCAATCCCCTCTGTCATTCATCATTCCATCCTAGATTATTGTAATGATTTTCAAACTGGTCTCCAGGATCAACATTCCTGTTTCCCTTCCCCTGACAAAGACATAAAACCTAAACTCCCCAGTGCACTTCTGATCTTGTCTCTGCTCCTCGTTAGATTCCCTTACAGGGTTCCTCATTCTCAAGGATAAAATCCAAGCCATGGAGTGTGGCACACAGTGGTGTTCACTGTCTGGCTCCCTCACCTCCCCCCTGGGCTCCACATACACCCTCCTCGGTTCCCTAGAGTGAACTGCAATCTCTCATCTCAGCATCTTTCTGCGTTTGCTGGTTGGTGCCTACTCATACTTCAAAACTTTGTTTCAGAGTCTCATCCAGTAGCCATTTTCTGACCCCCATCTGTATCCCACTGCCTCCAGAACATCCATGTATCATAACGTTTATCATTCTATATTATAATTGCTATTCTCTCCCAAATCTGAAGACCACCATTTCATCTCTACCACAGTGCTACTCAATAAATAATAAATGAATAAATGAATGAGAAACAGCACTGATCAAAAGAAATTACTTTTAACCTTAGGCCAGTCTTTCTGGAAAAACTGGGAAGATATGAGACAGCTAAGTGATATCCACAGGAAGGTATCAAATGAAGCATTGTGCTGTGCACCAGAAACTGACACATTGTAAACTGACTGTACTTCAATAATATATATATATATACACATACATATATATGTGTATGTGTGTATATATATATATACACAGGAAAAAACTTTTTAATATAAGAAATGTTTT